TATATATATCGTTATATATATATATACACACACACATACTAGGGAGAGAGAGAGAGAGGGAGATCGAGATAGAGATAGACAGGTAGATAGATAGCTAGCAAGCTAGATAGATAGATAGATAGATAGATAGATGGATTACGGCACGTCTTCATATATGTTCGTATGTATGTATATAAACTATATGTATATCTATATATATATATATCAAGAGACATATACATATATAGATATACATATGTGTATACCCTTAACCTTACACCGCTGCTGGAAGGAACGCCAGCGCCTTTTCAAGCTTGCTGCAGAAGGTGTCATCAGGCAGTCTCTGCTTGTGTTTGAATCGCTTGCTGCAGCCACTGCTGCTGCTGCTGCTGCTACTACCAATACTACGCGGACTACGACACGACGGCGGAAGATTAGCAGTGTTATTGGCAATCTTTCTAGGACATTTTCAGGTGGGTAGTTACCGTTATAGGAGCCTTATAGAAGGTCTATATACATTATAGAAGCCTTATGGAAGCCCTATATACCCTAAACTCCCCACCTGTAGTTTCCTTTAAATCTTGCCGCTTTTTAGTGTATGACCACGAGAATGCTTCACTTCTTTAACAAGCTTGCGTTTCATGATGGCACATGGCAAGAGTCCAGTGTCTGTTTCATCGTCATTCTGACACTGAGACTAGCTGTACACTTATTGTCAGCTTTGTCGTCTTTGCTGCTCTTGCTTACTCTATGTCTAGTATGAATGATCATACCCTTTCTCAGTATCGTTCGCTTAGCATTACGTTGTCTGTCGATAGGCCAAAGTAGACAGCGTCATGTCAATGTCATTATAGGGTAATACTCAAGCCATCACGTTTTTCCTTCAGAATCCTCGACCCAATATGCCCTCAACCTTGTCAGTTTTTTTAAGCATGCCTGCCCATGAAGGGTAGAAGTGCGACACGGGCCGACCTCCAAAAACCCTTACAAGACCGTACCAGCACCTTAACATGAAGCAAGAATCGAGCAACCGCTGATGCGACCTCGAGGCAAGCTGCTGCAGTGGATGGCTGCTGGAACCGACCTGATCAACATGCATTGAGCCCAGATTGGGTTTGGGAGTGGTTAGGGTTTAAGGTGTTTAGGGATTGGAAACTTGAAAGAGTTTAATCCATGAAAGCCTGATGCCTGAACTTGAAGCCCGCAGTTTATGCTTAGCGCAGAGGTCGGCCGTACCATCGCACTTCGCGATCTGCGACGTGCACCAAGGCTGGGAAGATTCTTCTGGTCCAGGTTGGCATGTTGGTCGTCATAGGATCAGGTATGGCCTGTTGGGCATCATGATTATGCCGTGTATGGTTCAGATTCTCCAGCTTGCTGATTGCTGAGGTCTAGATAAGTTGTTGCACTCAGCTACTTAATAAAGTCCTTGACACTGCACAATTGAGCTGTCCATGCTAGCTGCGAGCATCGTTTGTTAGTGTTCTCACTTTTGCCATTTTCAATCCCATCATCTTTGCCCGTTTCATTAGCACACTACTCAGGTGTCATTGTGCCGGATTCGCGTTGTGCGAATACGGGTTGTGGCAGTCTGGTGCGTGCAACTGCACGGATAAACACACGAAGCAAATCCGCCTTTCAGGCTGCTACTTCCACAATAGAAGAGAAGCAGAACATTTCATTAGATGTCTCTGGCCCAACCAACGGGACATGGAAAAACGTTGCAAGCCTCGAATCACCTCGAGATGCTATCCTCTTGAGCATCAGGTGGTGTGGCAATACCGGAATATGTGCTGGCGGGGATACTGCAGTGGAACGTGACTCGCCCTGTTCATGTATGGACGTGTAGACCATGTAGGGCCGCCATGCAGCCACCTGACTCGTGATGCTTCCAGCGCAGCAGCCGCAATACTTAGGAAAATGCGCCGTCGTAACTACGCCCCCCTACCCTATCCACCCAGTTACCGCGTGCCGTATGCACGAGGCACAGTGTAACTACCAATGCAATTCGGGAGAATCCATACTGACCGAGGTCCGCATGATGGACCTGGACAGCGCGTTTAGACGGTGCACTTGGATGCTGGGCCAAGCAGTCGATACTGTTAGCCCATCAACATCTTCAGCGTGGCTATATAGGTTTGCTTAACTCGAGCTTCACATCCGTCATGAAGTCGCCGCAAGATTTTGATTCGTCGTCGCTACAGCACATATTAAGCTGTTACTAGTCAGATGCTTACAGTGCTTGTCCTTCTGCCACTCGGTCTCCAAGAAGTATTCCTATACGGGTCATAGCCTTGAAGAAAAGGGGGTTGTAAATCAGGATCCCCAGAACCCTGAAACCTACAAACACCTAAACACCTGTGGCTCCTTGGCTTCTTACCTTTGAGCCAACCGAGGAGAAGCGATCTCCACAACAACTGCACTCGTCCGAAGCCGCACAAGGCAGAGCCCTGCCACGGCCGAACAAAAATGCAGAGTTTAGGGCTTAGGGGTTTAGGAGGTTAAGCCCCTTTAGGGCTCAGGACTCCCCTTGCAGAACTTCGGGCGTAAGCCCTCAAACGCCGATGGTTGAGGAGTTCAGGGTTTGCGTTGAGCCCGGGAGCCCAGACCCCGAAGCTCTAAACCTTAGCCCAAACTGGGTTGTTAAGGGAAGTTTATTTAAGTTACTATAACAGGAGTCTATAGTAAATAAAATGGTCTAACTTAAATTGAACCCCCCTAACAAGAAGCCAGCAAACCCCGGCAGGAGGTCTACAACCAGACAGCAGCTCGGCAGATAGTTAGCTTCCGGACGGAGGTCGCTGCAGGTAGCCGAACTTTGTAGCGATAGAACAACTTCTTTATATGTTTCAACAGACCCTAGTATACCATAATATGATAGAATGTATTATAATACAATATAATATGTTCTAGTATACTCTAGTATACTGCAGTATGCTGAGTATGTATATATATATATGTACATATCTATATCTATCTATCTATCTATCTATCTATCTATATATATATATATATTGCAAGAGAAAAACCTCAGGTCGGAATCGTGGGCTTCGGCACCATCGGCCGGGGTGTGGGCCAACGAGCGGCGGCGCCGCTCGGCTTGCGAGGTTGTAGGGCTCAGAGGGAAGATGAGGGTTCAGACTTTGGGGTTTGGGGTTATAGAGTTTGGGGATTTTGGGTTTGGGGTTTAAGAGTTTGGGGTTCAGAGCTTGGGGTTTTGGGTTTATAGGGTTTGGGGTTTTGAGGGTTTAGAGTTCAGGGCTTCGGGTTTCAGGGTTTAGGGTTTGGGGTTTATAGGGTTTGGGGTTTAGAGTTGTGCGGTTTTGGGAAGTGTCGAGCTTGTGGGGCTGTGGGGTACCCCGAAAGCTAATCCAAGGGATCCCATGGCTAACAAGGCTGCCACTGCAATGACAAATCCGGGTCGGGCTCCGGGGGTTTTGGAGGAGCTGCGGTTTCAGGTTCGTTCAGCTGTTCGACTCTGGGGTCTGGTGCAAGAAGAAGACACTCTGAAGTGATGAGTCATAAATCATAAGCAGTATAACAAACTGAAGCAACTAAAGGATTGACATGAACCCTGTCGCTGATCCCAAGTGATACCGAAATTGAAGCCCACGCCCTGAAAAGGTTCAACCTGAAGTTTTAGGAAGCCTCCCGTTTGAATGTGACGATCAACTGAGCACGGCCCCACAGTATCTCTGGGCAACTCAGCCCCTTTGCACGTCTGCAGGGCTTTGTCTCTTCCGGTTTGGTGGAGTTCCTGTGCTCACATGGTCGGGGTCAGAAGGTACTAGTAACAAAAATAATCGCATAATGAAATCAGATGATATAAGAGTGATGATGTCAGTAGTTTCAGATCTATAAGGTCTAAGGTTTTGGGCATTCCAAGCCCCGGACTAGAAGAGCTCCAGGTTTGGAATGCGAGTCATCGCTGTCGACGAGCCGCTTGTGCCAAAGAGACAGGACATGCCCAGAGAACCCAGTACCCCTTAATTAAGGAATACACCTTCAATTATACAGGGGCCTTAATATTATGATTTAAAGTATATTCCTTAATAAGAATATACCTTCAGTTATACCGGGGCCTAATATTATGATTTAAGGTATATTCCTTAGTTAAGGAATATACCTTCAATTATATAGGGGCCTTAATATTATGATTTAAGGTATATTCCTTCATTAGGGATATCGGGTTCTCTGGGTGTCACCTCCAACATTTGGCCAAGGGCTGCTAGCCAGAGAGCCTCAGTTAAGGGACACTCCGTCAAGCGTAGCGTTAACCCCCTTGCCGGGGATACACATAGCTCCTAGTATCGGGCTCCCTGAGTAAGTTTTGGGCTTTGGAAGCTTGGTGTTGAGGTGCCGGCATGCAAGAGGAATGCAGCTCCTTTCCTGTGACCATGCAAAGCTCTTTTGCGTTGGAGCCCTCCGAATCCTGAACCCATGGCTATCACGGGAAGTCCTCAACCAGCACCGATTCTGTTTGAGGCTCCAGGCAAAATCTCGCATGAAAGGCGTCGGGTCTTGATCCACCCGGCATCCACTTCCAATCTCCTCAGCCTTGAAGGTGATGCTTAAGCCTTTCAATTTTTCTGTACGGGATTCCTGGTTGGGGCTTCTTCAACTTCTGACAGTCGGCCGAGGTATATTCCGTCACCAGTTCCATCCTACGTCTCCTGGATAGGTCCGCGGCTGTGTTCAGTGGTACAGTGTCTGGGTTCGTTTCAGTGAAGTGGAGAGAACAGACAGCGGACAGGACAGTTACTCTTGATGAGTTGCGCGTGCATGCTACAGTGGTGCCCGTTTCAAGCGCGAGCACTGGTTGCAGTAGCTTCGCATCCTGTCAATCTGCTAGTTGTGCCATTTAGCTTAGTTCCCTGCTGGCTGCAGTACCGTCTGTGGCTTCAGCCAGAAGATATACGCTTATTTTTTCTATTTACACCTGGCTAAACTCTCAACCCGGAACCTGAAACCCCAAACCAAAATCCTCGTGTAGGCCATGCCCTGGCAGAGCTGCATGAGGTCATGACGATCAGCTGCCCAAGCTGATGGCAGAGGCAGTCGAGTCACAAGATCTATGCAAGTTTGTTGGGCGCATCTCCGGCGTGCTTTTGTGCGACAGTTTGTGAAGGTTCGACCCAGTTTCGCAGGGTTTGGGGTTTAGGGTTGGGGGAGTGTTTGGCATTTGTGGGATCTATATTGGAACACGTTGAGGATCGAAGCCCCGCCCCCAAGCCCACATTCGTTTCAGACCGTAAACATTTGAAGAAGCTGTTTGGAGTTTATTGCCCCTGGGCCTCAGCTCTGAAAACCAAGCCCTATAAACCTTAGACACAAAAACACCCTCGGCGCCCTTAAGCCCTTCACGAGGGGCTACCAAAAAGGCCAAGCCCCAAAGTCTAACCTAACCCATCAAAAACGTCCTTCAACCAAAACCCTGTGCACTGGGAGGCCGACTTTGTGGTGGTGGCTGTGCCGCTGGTGCCGGCCACGAGGGGCCTCATCGGGCCAAAGGAGCCAGAGCGAACTAGCGAGGGGAAGGAAGGTGTTGGTTAGGGTCTTGTGGTTTTGGGTCTCTGGGTGTAGGGTGGTCTCTGGGTTTGGGATTCATTTTAGGTTTCCTGGATACTAGTTGTTTGGGACAGCACAATAAGGTTTGCGGTCGTTTAAGGGGTTTGGGATGCAAAGGTCTGTCGTTGTAGGACACTCCCAAGACCTCTTCCAGTTCCCCGAATTCCCATGTGCCTGCGTTTGGCGGTTTCCCTTCAAAGAAGTGCTCCTTAGCTGGAGAGCAGGTGCCCTTCTTCTCGTAGGATCTGCATGCATGTCTTTGTGGGGTTCAGAGGCTTTCAGGTGGCTACGGCAGTTCAACGGGCACCGATTTAGCGGGATGGAAGCTTACTTGGGTCCCTTGGCCCTTGAGGCCTCTTGGCGGTCAGGCTTCGCCACACGCTGAGCCTGAACCCGACACTCTAAACTATAAGCCTGAAACCTGCTGAAACCCTGCAGTGCACCTAAATCGATACCCCTGAAGGAGCTCTCTTACATGAAGCAAGATGGGGTCCTGATCAATGTGGCTCGTGGGCCCATCGTGGATGAGAATGCTCTCTGGCGGACACTGCAAGGCGAGCAAATAGGCGCTTCCGGTGGGCAATCATATATATATATATGTATTTATATATATATATATATGCATAGAGGCATAGATAGACTTAAAAGCAATAGTTTGTAGGAGCACTTCAGCCGAAGTCAGGAGTACCTGGTGTGGCTTGCATCAGACCGATGTCTGCCCAGACCGTGCAACTAAGCACTCAAATCCAGAATGCTCGATGTGGGACCTTCGATGCTGCTAATGGAGGAGTTAGTGCAAACCGTACATCCCGACATGGGAGATTGCAGCTCGACTTGAGGGACAGCACTCTCTCTTAGTAGCCTAAACCCCAAACCTCCCGCCCAAAGTTCTGACCCTAAAAGCCCTTTGCCCCCCAAACCAAACTCTCACAGTCCCGGTGGACCCTACAACCCTGTTGCAGGTGGGGCAATTCTCGATGTCTGGTGGCACGATTTCTCCTGGTACCAGAATGGCAGCCACTAGGTTAATGTTACTTTGTTTGCTGTTTATTGAGTCTGGGGATTCCTGACATTGTCGCTGTCCACTTTGCTGGACATTTGGCACTCGCATGTGTCTCAAGCCGGGGTTCGTTTTCCCCCGCACTGCAGAACAGTTAGTTCTGAGATTCTGGAACTTCCACCTGCAACCGAAGTCTCTTCAGTCGTTACCTTCTCAAGGCCAGGGAGAATGGCGGAGCTGAGACCCTCAGGCCCGGCTCCTTCCTTGCTGCTTGCACCGCATGCGGCTTTCCGGGCTCATTTCCCCGGGGGCCGCCCGCGCTCCTCGCCCGGCTTTGGCTGCAAGGGAGCTGTGGCGGTGTGGCTGGGCAGTTGCATGCCACTTTGGAGAAGGAGCCGGCGGCAGTGCATGGGGCATCGAGAACAGACCATGACTCTCCTGGCGCATTCCAACAAGCAAGTGAAAAACTTGACCCTACATCTTCTGCATGAGCGGATGCCAGGTGAGTCGCTTCTTCAGCGAAGGAACACGACCTTGTGTAAACTCCTCGCCTTAGTGGTCAACCTACGGCCCCTGCCACTACTTTCTTTGCAGAGGCAATCACAGAATCTGGCGTTGAAGCTGCTGTGCGAGCTGCCAGCCACTGGCCTAGCCGAGCACCGGCAGCTGATTGCCAGCTGCCACGACAAACACAGCAACACCTGGCTCCACGTTGCGGCTGCAGAAGGCCACCTACAGGCCTGTGAGATCTTGGTGGACAGCGTGGGCCTTCCGTTGCATGCACGGAACGATGATGGCTTACAGCCGCTGGCCCTTGCGAAGAGTTACGAAGTTGATCAATTTGTGAGGAGTAGGATGCACTTTCGGGAGACCCGGTTCGGCCACGGGAATGCTTTCGCTGAGATGATGCAGGATGAGAGGCTGGTGTCCGAGGTCGTATGGTACACGATTCCTCTTCCTGGCCTCGCCGGCAAGCTTGGAGGCCTTCACTCCTTCCTGGAAGTGACGGTGGGTGGGGGGGTCAAGACCAAGAGATACGTGCTTGAGAAGGCTGGGTCTGTTCCCCTGGAGGCACATCAGGAGCATGGCGTCTTCATCGGCAGCGACGATTTGGGCACCAACTTGCTGCGCGCGAATGGTGTTGACATGCACAGCAGGAAGTTGAGCCTCACCAGCGGCAGTCTGAAGCCTGGGCTGAAGATGAAGGACTTGCACGAGCAAGCTCATAAAACTGGACGCTATGATCTTGCATCTTCGAACTGCCATCATGCCGCCCAGCTCGTCTTCAATCACTGCTGCGCCCGAGAAGCAGACCGGGAGGCCACAACCCCCAACGAACTCATGGCAGTCGTGGCTGCTGGATTGAGTGCATTGCAGCTTCACTTGTTCAACTCAAGAAGTTTTGGCTCCGAAACCTCAGGCTCAGAATTTGCTTCAGTTGAGTCTGAAGTGCCCTCGTCTGCCCTCCGTGCGGCTCCGCGCGGGTTTACGAAGGCGTTCGACGTGTCCTCCGACCCTCTCGCTTTCGTTGCTGCTGCCCTGAGCCATGCGGTGTATGACGAGGATCCGGCGAGCATTCTGAAGCCACGAGAGGCCGCTGCTGGTGCCGTCATCCACAACGAATTAGAGAAGCCGGTTGATGTGCAAGACTCCCCTTTAGGCACTAGCAAAAGAATAGAAGCAGGTGACAAGTGCACGGTCGATCATATTATTGGGGGACCAGAGAAAGCACTCGTGAATATCATTCAAGACGGGTTCGTAAAGACCCCCCTGGCCGAGAATCAGCCGATCTGGATGGGTCGTGACTATGAGCTAACTCGGGACTTTCGAGGTGAGGTCATTGTCCAAGAGGTGGCGATGCCAAGAGTCGAGGTGCTGCACACCGTGCACGCTGGAAACGGCGTTAGCCCGGTGGAGTGGCTCCTCGCTAGGTCTGGCGACGCGATTTACTTGTGCTTCCGTGGTACGGACGATGTCCAGGATGCTGCGATTGATTTCAGTGTCCTGCCAGACTTTCACAGATTCAAAGAGTACGGCATCGGCGTGCACGGAGGGATTGCACATGCCCTCGAGCAGGAGGGAGATAGACTTTGTCATGTTGTGAGCGATGTGCTGCAGGCTTTGCAGGAGCATCGTCGAGCTGGAGAGCGGCTGGTCCTTTGCGGCCACTCCCTCGGTGGAGCCTACGCCCAAGTCATGGCTGTCCACTTGTTGACGCGGAAGGTGGAAGTCACGGCCCTCCGAACCTTTGGCACTCCTCATGTCTTCATACCAGGGAGTAGAGAAACTTCTCCATTGTGGAGGCAGTTGTGTTCGATAAGCCAGCATTGGGTGCGGGACTGGGATCCCGTTCCACGGTTGCCCCTTTGCAAAACCTGGCTGACAGAGGTGCTGCCAAAGCTGAAACTCGAGCTTGGTGGGATCCGGGTTGGCGTTGCCGAGACACTTCTTCGTGATATTCAGCAGAACTACAAAGGAGCCAAAGTTCCCTTGCTAGAGGGCTTCGACGTCGCCGGCGAGGTCGTGCTGGTGAGCAAGGCACCCATCTCAGCCCACATTGCACGGGAAGGAGGAGCGCCTCAGAAGGAGCTTCTCAGTGAGAAGCCTCCGGAGGCATCGATGACTTTCAACAAGCTGAATGCCTACCACGATATGGAGGAATATTTGCAGATTGCTCGTCTGTTGACTGGCCCAGAAGCGGCCTGATAATTGATACCCGTCTTTCATAAGTAGTATCGTGACAGGCGGAGGTGTCCTCCGTCGGAGCACTGACTTCGTTGACCCGGCAAGAGCTGAGAAGAAGGAAGCTGGTGAATGTGCATGATGGTATGACTCGAGGCATCACTGAATCGTGAGAGGTTCATCTCTGAGGCCCCCTCAAAGCCTGTGACTCGCTAAAACACGCAACTTCCCTAAACTGTCTGGGTCGCTTAGGGGACAACCTAATCCTAGCAGACAATTCAGAAAGTGCCCTGCCGTAGCCCTGCGAGCCATGAACGCCCAACAGCTTGGTTCCTCAAGTATTGAACCGACGAGTAAGTATACAGTCCAGAATCGCAAACGATCTTTTCTTTGATAATCTTGCCTTGCTGTTGTGCTGTGGTCCTAAAAACCTCACCGCAATCCTAGACAAAGCGATCGCCCCAGATGATCCCTAAACCCTTGGCCCTTAACCTCATATGCAATTGGCCCGACTACTTCAAGCCCGACTCCCAGCATCAGAACACTTTGTGCCGAGGCTGGCCTTCCACCTACAACTTCAGCAGCCTCCCGAATGTCCCAGGGGCCGCAAGCTGGGAGTCGCGTTTGCTGTGGGGTTTGGTTCGGAGTTTAGGATTTCGGTCCAAGTTTAGAGATTCAGATGTCAGGTGCAAAGGCGTAGCATTTCAGGATATTTGAGAGTTGCATTCTTGCTGGGTGTGGAATAGTTGCAGTGCTCAAGCTTGGCGCCCATGAAGGGTATCACCATGTTGGACTGGATGTTGTGTCAGCACAATGGCCGGTCTTCCTGAAAGGCATCGTAGTGCCAGCCTTGCAGCCTCGCCTGACTTCTTCGAAGGTCTGGATGACCCCTCACGCTGCTCAGCGGCACTGAGACTCTTCCGAATCCATGAAGGCATGCCTGCTTCGATACCCAGATGCTCCGGCTGCTGAAGTTTCATCGAAGCTATCGTCAGTATTCATTTGGATTTGGCGGTCGCTGCTTTGATGAACAGGATGATGGCGATTTGGATTGCGATGATGGTGATGATGATGATGGTGTTGATGATGATGATGATGATGACGATGATGATGATGATGATGGTGTTGATGATCATCATGATGATGTTGCTGATGATGTTGATGACGATGATATTTATGATGTTGATGACGATGATGTTGATGATGGTGCTGACGATGTCCATAGCGATGATGATGATGATGATGATGGTGATGATGAAAAAGATGAAAAAGCTTATGGCCATGGTCATGGTGATGGTGATGATGACAAAAGAGCCATAATGTGCAGATTTCGGAGGGGACGGTTGGCGCTTTCGTTGAAGAACAGAGCCTCAGCCCTGAGCTTACTGCCTCAGACGCTCGACCCGCACACTAGTCAACCTTACATGACCCCGGGCCTGAAACTTTAAACTCACCCATGAGCGACTGCTCAGGTGTCCGTGCACACTCTCCAGGCCCAGAATGCCACATATGACCAGGCAAACCGGATGCATGGGTTTTCAGGGTTCGGACCTGGCTTCCGCACCAGAGAAGTCAGACTAAAAGTTTACGGTCCTTCCAAACGATATTGCAGGACGACTTCCCGGAAATCCAACGGCGTGGCCGTTGCTGCATTTTTGACGGTGGAAGTTTCAGGGTCCTGGTTTACTGTTCATCTAAAGAGTAGATCCTTCGCTCTACATCAACAACCCTAAACCCGGAAGCCTAAAGCAGGGCCCAAGCCTGACCCCGAAACAAACTACCCTCAATGCTCTAGCCGCAGACTCTGCAGGCTTCCCTTTTCGAAGGCCTCACTCTGATCGAAATGCCCGACAATGCAAACTCGACTACAACTGTGCTTGCTCATCCTGAAATGTTTCACTACCGCAGGACCGACGACCACGATGACAACGACACCGATACTACCACTAACACGAGCATCACGTTGCATTGCCACATATTTGCATGCCGCTGTTGAGCTACCATGCCCTAAACCCTAAACCCTAAATTATATCAGGATCATATCTCTGAAGCAACCTGTCTTCCTTCACCTCAGAGAGCAGGCAGCAGCCAATTTCATGGCGCTCGCTGCGGGACGGCCCCTGAAGAACGTCGTTCGCAATGCCAGCGTGCAGGCTCTTCCTGCTGCGGTTTTATGCGCCCCCGTTGTTGCCCATTGGTATTGCTGGCCACGACATCGACATTTTTGCTGCTGCCCATTGTGGCCCCCAGCCGGGTTCCCACACTGATTGGAACAACCATAAGATGCCACTTATGCAGCTTTTCTCAGTCTGCAGACGTCACATCATCGACATCACACGTGTATATACATATTACTATATTACATATCCACGCAGATTACACATTTATAGAAACAAATCACTACCTGTGTTTGTGTGTGTGTGTGAGGGGCAAGCTCGCGAGGTGAATGCGCCCGCAGCCGCAGTTCTCATCTCCTGAGTCGAGAGCGCACACAGTTGCAGTTTTCTGGTCAGGGTTACAGGGTGTAGGAACAAGGTTTGTTTATGGTTGTTTGGGGTGTTGGCTTTTTTGGGAATTTATAGGAAAAACATGGAGAAGGACTTAGGCTCCTATATTGCGAAGACGGAACATCTTTGCAGGTGTCTGCCAAGTCTGACCCTTTTGTCTCACCAACGGCCCCGGCGAGGACCTGATACAACCCCAAACCAAACACTTCTAGACCGGCCACTGCCCTATCTTTGACTAAGGAATTCGGGTGTAACACAGCTCAGAGCAGAGTGTAGGTTTCTGAGGATTGTTTTCGCGAGGTGTCGTTGGACTGCGCAGCAAAAGAAGAGCCAGTGACATGCCGGGCTTTGAATATACTGTTAAGACTGATATTTATGTTGGTTACAATTGCTTAGACTAAATTGATACTCAGCTCATATGATTATTCATTGGTGTTAGGGGTCAGCTCAAGGTTGGGCATCACGGAGGAGTTCTGGGCAGCTCCTTCTTGGCTTCAGCAGGGAAGCTATATCAAATCAGCTTTTCTCAGCAGAACAAGACAGATTGCGCATCGGATTGAAAGCCACAGGGCTTCAAAAGTAAAGGTTTTCTTCTTTGTTGCCGGCATCGTTACAAAAGCCAGGATGACCGCGATTCAGACCCGCGTCGACGAGCTGCAGCTGCAGGTGAACGAGGACCGAAATTCACTTTAATCTGGTAATATTGGGCTTTTGGGTATGCATAATGTACTGTGCACCTGTTACGGAAGCCCCAAGAATATTTGCCGATTTTTTTCAGGCCCCTGTATTAGACCCCAGCCACTCGCACGTGATTGGAATCCAATGTAATGTAAAGCAACATGCTCAAGAGTTCCTGTCAAAGTCGCAGAATATTCTGAAACAAGCAGACCAAACTACTGGTTGCTGGCTGTGGTTTACCACACATCAACATGCAAGATCATCCCTAGAGAATGAGAAGCATGGCAGCAGTGCAGGTAAATGAAGTTCTTTGCTATGCTGCGCTCTGTTTTGGTACAGTGTTGCAAACACACCAGAGCCTTGAACATGGATATTTCCTGCATGTAGTTTCATTATATATATATATATGTGTGTGTGTGTGTGTTTCTTTATGCATGCATGCCCATATGTGTATAAATTGCAGAATCAGGATGTACTCATGCCTGTGATGGAAAGATGTGTTCATGCATTCCTGTTTGCAGTGTAGCCTGTGAGGAAGCTTTCACGGCGCTGCAGGGAACCCAGAAAATTGCAAGGGACGCATTCGGAATGGGGGCAAGAAGGAGGGGTGCCCATTCTGATCATTGAGGCCCTCAGTTGGCCCCGCAGAATGGTAAATTCTGTAAAACACAAAGACCCAACAGCCTTCTACAGCCTTAGTAAAATTAGCAAAAAATGCTCAACAGAGCTGTAAAGCAAATTACAGTCACGTAAAAAAAAATCAAGCTCATTGATTTATATAGCCTTCTCAGAAGCACTACGATATTTCATAGCCCTGAGAGCAGCTGGAACCCTGAGCCCTATAGACCGTAAGCAAACCCCTAAACCCTAAAACCTAAAACCTAAACCCTAAAGCCTTAAAGCCCTAAAGGTTGCAGGTAAAGCCTAAAAATCATTTTTCCTACGACTTCCCAGAAGCAACGTGGGCTCTTGGCACTCCGAGGTTGAAGCTTCCTGAGGACGAGGGTGTGGCTTTGGTTTAGGGGTTTAGGGTTTAGGGGTTTAGGGTTTGGGTTTAGGGGTTTGGGGGTTTAGGGGTCCCGGGTTTGGGGGTTTAGGGTTTAGGGTTTAGGGGCTTGAGTTTAGGGGCCTCGAAAGATAGAAATAAGCGGTGCTTTCATAGGTTTGACAGGTTTTTTTGTAGGCCTGTCTTTTTTTGTAGGTTTTTTTTCACAGGGGCCTGAGTTGAGTAGTCACAACATACAGTAAGGTTTCAACAATTTGCGGTATATAGTAGTACCTATAATCAGACTATACGGACGCTAAGTGGATACGACTGCTAGTGATTCAGCCCCTTATGACAGCCATAGCATTAGGGTTAGAGAGTCTTGGTGTTGGTGAGAGTGCATTTAGGTGTTGGGCTTTGGGGTTAACGGGTGGGAGGTTTAGGACGCAGCATGTTGGGTTCAGAGCTTGGTCCTTGGGGGTTGGGCTGTAGGGTTTCAGTTGAAGCCACGGTCTAGTTTTAGATGGATTCGGTGCTTGGCTTCTGGGTTTAGGGGTTCATTTGCTGGTCCTTTCGGGCTTTGGGGGTTCAGGGCTTTACCCGGCAGGCTGTCAGCCTTAGAAGGATGAAAGTGGTTTTGGGATTCGGTTTCAAGGCGTAACGCGTCATACGCCGTGGTCTTTCAGGCCTCTAAGATGCAAAGGCTTAGGCTTGGGATCCATTGAAGAACCCCACGGGTGAGATCCCAATGGTCACCGTGCTGTGAATAGGACGGATAGGATGTCAGCCACGGAAGCCTCCCCAAATTCCTCAATTTTAAGTTCCCCCTGGCCCTGAACCCGTACCCCAAAGCC